AGAAAAATAATCAATGTAATTAATCTCATTAACAAAGCAAAGAACAATAACTGCATGATCCTATCAATTGATGCAGAAAAGGCCTTTGACAAAATCCAACACCCCTTCCTGATTAAAACACTCAACAAAACAGAAATGGAAGGGAATTTTTTAAGCACAGTGAAAAAGTATATATGCAAAATCAAGAGTCAACATCATTCTCAACGGCAAAAGATTAAAGGTGTTCCTGTTGCAATCAGGGGCCAGAAAAGGAAGCCCACTATCATCACTCCTAATCAATATTGTATTAGAAGTACTTGCTAGGGCAGTATGACAAGAGAAGGAAATAAGAAACATCCAAATCGGCAAAGGGATAGTATAACTTGTTATATGCAGATGATATGATAGTATACATAGAAAACCCCAAAGACTAAACCAAAAAATTGTTAGGCCTAGCAGACCAATTTAATAGAGTGCCAGGATACAAGATCAATATATAAAAATCACTGGGATTTCTTTATAGTAACTAAGAAAACACAGAAAAAGGAAGCTAAGAAAGTAATACCATTTGCAGTAGCCAACCACAAGATGAAATACTTGAGAATAAACATAACTAGAGACACAAAAATTTTTATGAGGAAAACTATAAAACATTACTACAAGAAACAATAAAAGACTTAAGTGGAAAAATGCTCCCTGAGAATAGACAGGAAGCCTCAACATAGTGAAAAATCACAATTCAACAAAAAGCAATATACATGTTTAATGCAATCCCAATATAGATACTAAACTAATTTTTCAAAGAGACAGGCAATTGGCAAGTTTATTTGGAAAAGAAAGAGATCCTGAAAAAAACAAAGCTCTTTTCAAAAAGAAAAATTAAGTGGGAGGTAAAGCATTCCCTGATTTCAAAGCCTACTACACAGCCATAGTAACCACAATATAGTGCAATGACAGACATATAAACCAATGGAACAGAATTAAGAAATTAACCCATCTACCTAGGGACAGTTGGATATTTTACAAGGTCTCAAACCCTGTCAAATGAGGAAACGACAACATCTTCATCAAATAGTACAGGAAAATTGGAAAGCAACCAGCAGAAAACTGAAACAGGATCCACTTCTCACAGCATATACAAAATTCAACTCAAAGTGGATCATCAGAGAATGAAGAGAAAACTCAAAATCATAAGGACAAAACGGGTCCAAACTCAGTAGTCCTAGTCTATCGCATAAATAGACTTGCAAATATGGCCAGAAATATACAAGTAGGAGAGGAAAAATCAACAAATGATACTTTTTAAAAATCAAGTTACTGTGTGTATCAGTAACTCTTTCCAATGGGGGGGGGGAACACCCTACTGACTCGAAAAATAACATTTGCCAATGACATCTCAGACAAGGGTCTCATAATGAAAGTCTATAGAATACTAACAAGAGACTTTACAAGGAAAAGACTGACAACCCAATAACAAAATGGGCAAAACCCATGCAAAGATTTTTCACAGAGAAAGACATTTGGAAGGCCAATGGACACCTAAGAAATGCTCAAAATTACTGGCAATCAGAGAGCTGCAAATCAAAACAACAAAGAGTTAGCATCTCCAGAAGCAGTTGCAAAATTTAACAGGACAGCAAGCAATAAATGTTGGAGAGGATGTGGTACAACCACTTTGGAAGGCAATTTGCCATTTCCTCAAAAAGCTAAACAGAGAATATGACCCAGCTATTCCACTGCTAGGAATATACTCCAAGGAAATTAGAACTGAGACATAACTAGATATGTATAGCTAAGTTTATAACACAATAGCAAGAAAATTAAAACAGTGCAAATGCTCATCAACAAAGAGATTGAAAATCTGTGGTTCGTGCAAAACAATGGAATATTATGCCAGCATTAAACAAAGATATTGTGAAATACTATATAACATGAGAATCTAGACAGCATTAAGCTCAATTAAATGACCATTATTGTAAAAATAGAAGGATAAATAGTAAGATGTATATAAATTTTCAAAAGAGGAAAAGGAATGAAAAAACAGGGAAGGGTAGAAATCACTACAAACAGCCGAATTTAGTACGCAGACAGAGGTGGGCTTGAAGGAACAGGAAATAATCAATGAGCACTCTAAAAGATGGAGTAATAACTGACATAGATCAATAGTAATTATGTAAAATATAACCTATATGAATGATTATATGAAACACAATGTAAATGAAAGATTATATAAGATACAGTGTACATGAATGAAATACAATGTATACAAATTATTGTATGCAAACTAAAAAACAAAAAAGCGATATCCTTAGTTGTGACTCCCTACAAGATATGTCTGCCTCAAACCCTTGAGCATGACTTTATTTAGAAAAGAGCTCACCACAAGACAAAGGTAAACAATCCAACTGAAAAAATGGGCACAGGATATGAACAGACACTTCACCAAAGAAGACATCAGATGGACCACAAACACAGGAAGAAATGTTCAAAATCCCTAGCTATAAAAGAGATGAAAATCAAAACAACTATGAGACATCATCTCACCCCAGTCAGAATAGCAAAATTTAACAGAACAGCAAGCAACAAATGCTGGCGAGGTTGTGGAGAAACTGGAACCTTTATTTACTGTTGGTGGAAGTATAAAATAGTGCAACCAGTATGGAAGGCAGTGTGGCGCTTTCACAGAAAGTTGGAAATAGAAATACCATTTGACCCAGCAATTCCACTACTGGGAATATATATACCCCAAAGAAATCATAAGTACCACCCAAACAGATATATGCACACCCATGTTTATTACTGGAAACAAATGCCCATCAACAAATGGATAGAGAAGCTGTGGTATATTCACACTATGGAAGACTACGCTGCATTGAAAAATAAGGAAATCATAAAATATCATTCAAAATGGGTGAGCCTGGAGGACATTATGCTGAGTGAAATATCTCAGTCACAAAAGGACAAATATTGAGTAGTGCCACTGCTGTAAAATGGGACTGACATTGGGTTTAGGGGTTGTCTGAGAAAGATGGGATAAATAATGTATACTGCATTGAAACATATGAGGGAGAAAACTGTTTAAAAGGGATATGTGATTTATGTGATTAGGCATTATTGTCATGACAGGAGTCCAGAACGAAGGCTAAATAGTGGGGGGATGGACTGTGTAACAATGAAAGAATTTTTCTTTTACTTTTCAAAGATAGGAGTGAATTGGGGGGGGAGGCAGGGAGAAAAGTGCAACAACGAATGAATGGAAATCTAAAGTCTCTGTATATTTTCATTAAAATTAACAATAATAATTTTAAAAAAAGAGCTTCTGCTGATAAATCCAGTAACAAGTGTCCTTATGAGGAAAGAGAAAACATAGAAAAGATGATCAATGTGATAAGTAATGAAAAGATTACCTACCCTTCCAAAAGTAAAACATTTTGACTTGACTTGCAGCCACATGTTGATACTGAGACACTATGTATCCTCTGAAGCAAAGATCACAGCTGAGAATTTTCAAAGTTAAGTAGGTGGAAGGAATAACATTCACTTAACTTTTCTAGCCCTAGTATTAATAATACAATAGAATGATTAGTTGGGCCACAATCTTGCAAGCATTGAAGTCTTAACAATTGTTGCAGTCTTGCAAATGATGCAATGGATCACCTGTATATAACTTTTCTAGTCAGGGCATTATGATTCCACAAAATGACTGGCTGTACCACAATCTTACGTGTGATAGGTAGTTTATTACAAAAAAAAAAACACACACACACACAAAAACAAAACACCACCAAAACCAAAGCCGAAAAACCCAACAGCAACTAGGAACAAAAAACTAAAGCCAAGCAAAACAAAACACAAACCAAATTAGAAAAACATCAACAACCTTCACACTTTTTAATCTTGTTTGGGTATACGTGGAGGTGAAAGATGAACTAACTGATAGAGATGATAAAGGTAGTCTGCTCTCATCAAGATTTAGAACCTCAGAAAAAGTTGCATATTAAACTGCTAAGTATATAAATTGTTAACTTTCCTACCACTGATACATTTATTTTAATGTAGTTATTTAAAGTATTCTGTAGACTATTTAATAACAAGAAAAAATATGCTTGGTAAACTACTAAGTCACTAAAGTAAGTTTCACAAGTAGTTATATGATCCAATTTTCGGCTTAAATAATAAGACTCAAAATCAACAAACACAATTCATTGCCATCAAGGCAGAACTGACTGAAAGCTGACCTTCCGAGTGACTTCAGGAGACTGTAAATCCAAGAAGAGGTAACTGTCTACCTTTCTCCCATGGAGTCACTGGTGGATTAAAACCACAGCAGAGTCACTGCCTTGGATTAGCAATGCTAACTCTCTATGGACTACACCAGCAGAGCTCCCCTGAAGTCAAAATACACACATATAATCCCACTAATACAGGAAATTTGGAAGGAGGAGTGGCATCCACTTCCGTAATAGCGTGCCTCCAGAAACCCAATGAACCTGGAGAGAGGATGAGAGACACCCAAGTGTTGAGGACTCTCCTTCACAGGGTCACTATGAGTCGCCTGCGACTCGAAGGCACTTAACAACAACAACAATGCAGGAAATAAGACGACTGGAAAGAAAATATACCAATATATTGTGGGCATTAACAACGCTGTTTTCTTTCTGCTTATTTACTTTCTAGATAGTCTATGATGAGCATAGTTCATTAGTTTGATTTAAAATGCAAAAAGAGTAGTTTCAATAATGATATCTGCGGGAAGGAAAGCTATAGTCCAGTTGTAATATAACCAGTGAAGGAGTTTGCAACCTTGACTGCTGTTTTTCAGACTTTTCCACAGAACTTTTAAATGGGAGGGCCCGAGTTTCAAGTCCCTATTGGTGCAAAATTATATCATTATAATTTTAAGTTGAAACATAAACTGACAGGGAAGTGTTTAACAATTTATTAAAATAAAAATTTTACATATTTGAATATTTAAAAACCATGCTACAACATACTAGGAAAAAAAACATCTGATGAATTACCTGGCTTCATGTTGGGATTACCAGGCCTAGCCACTGCTGCAGTCATCTGCTCCCGTCGAGGATCCTGGTAACTCATTTTACTAATGAACTCAATTGCTGCTTCTATACTTCTGTTATTTGTTTTCTGAAGAGCTTGTATAATCATATCCTGAGAGGAAATTTTAAAAAGAAAGAAAATATTAGATCTTGTAATTAAGAGGGAAGCACTATGAGTTCCATTTGAGAAATTCTTAATTATGAAAAACAGAACTCCAAAAGCACAATACAAATATTCTGCTTTTAACTCTTATAAAAAGATATGCAATCTCAAATTACTAAACAAAATAGACCTTAAGTAGTCTAAATGTTTCACTGTATTTTCATCTTTAGATAATTTATTATGGTTTTCTTCTAGGAATATCATACTGATATAGAATAACAGCAATATCACTGTGATTATTTTTCCTTCTTTATTTCATTCTTACAGACTTTAACTGTATTTGATTCCATACTTTTGCTACCATGAATATCAGTAAGAGGACTATGCAGTTCTAGCTCCTATTTTTACAGAACTTACATTTTCAGAGAACTGTATTAACAAGGGTAAAACCAAAGAACAAACAGTAGAAGAAAAGTATTTAGTCAATGTACAACTATGTGATGAAGAATTCAGAGAGGCAGATGAAATGATGGGAAAACCAAAGTTACACAGATCTGAATATGAATTCCAGCTCCTCAAAAGTACCAAATGGTACAAGCCATGTACCATTTCAGAGACTAGTTTCTTCATCTCATAGGGCTGATGTGTAGATTACATAAGAAAATATGTAATGTATAAAAACACAGTGTCTGAAAGTCAATTATTTTTGTTTTCTTCCTGTTTCTTAGGTGCTGTCAAATTGGGTATGACTCATAGCGACCTTATGAAGGGCCGACCTGAACTCTGTGCCGTCCTCACATTTCTGACACACTAGAGCCCTTGGCTACAGTCACTGTTGTCAATCCATCAGTTAGGGTCTTCCTCTCTTTGACCAACACCCCACCTTCCCAATTATCATGTCCCTCTCCAAAAATTAGCCTCTCCCAGCAATATGCCCAAAGTATGTGAGATAAAGCTTTATTATTCTTGCCTCCAATGAGCACTCTACTTTCTCCAAGACATATTTGTTTGTTCTTTGGGCAGTCCATGGAATATTCAGCACTCTTCTCCAAGTACCATAGTGTTGGAAGAATACCAGACACCAAAATACATTATGTCATAGGGAAAGTATAGTGACATGCACTACTCAAGAGTGGCAGCTAGCCTATACATTCACACATATATATGCATACATGCATGCAAATGCAAACATAGTTCTATATACATATATGTATGTGTACGCAAACACACACGGGGGTATAAAAGCATGTGAACCAAGAAGCAGTTGTTCAAACAAACAAGATTTAAAACCAGGAAAGATGTGTGTCAGGATTGCATCCTTTAACTGTACCTAATCAATCTGTATGCTGAGCAAATTCAAGAAGCTGGATTATATGAAGGATAATGTAGTATCAGGAGTGGAGAATACTCATCAATAACCTGCAATATATAGAGGAAATGACTTCATTTACTGAAAATGAAGAAGACTTGAAGCACTTATTGAAGGAGATAAAAACTAAAGCCTTCACTATTATCAAGAGAACAAAAATCTTCACAACTGGACCAAGAGGCAACATCATGAGAGGCGGACAATATACAGAAGTTGTAGCCAAAAGACCAGGGGCTCCACAGGAGAAACAAACAGGGGCTGGCAGTCTCCTCCCACAAGGACAGACAGCTGTAGAAGAGCTGATGGAGGGTCACTAGGAGTCAGAATGTACTTGACAGTGGTGAGTTTGGTCCACAAGGATGTACAGCTGTGGGAAACCTGATAAGAGTGTCACTATGATTGAGAATGCACTTGACAACAGCAGGTTTGGTTTCAATCTTTACAGTTTAATCTTTACAGGAACAGATGAACAGGGTTTTTCCCCCCAACGAGCCACTGATAGGTTCAAATCATTGACATTTTTGTTAGCTGACAATGTTTTAACCATTGTGTCACCAGGACATTTTCATTAATTACAGAAACGTGAATCAAAACCATGAACTATTAATTCATTCTTATAAGGATGGCTATCATCAGAAAAGAAAAATAACATGTATTGAGAATGTAGAGAAACTGAAACACTCCTGCATTGCTAGCGGATTATTAAATGGTGCCACTTCATGGACAACAGTTCGGCAATTATTCTGAACTCTAACCACTAATTACCTTATGGCCCAGGAATTCCACTCCTCAGTGTATACTGCAAGAACTGAAAGCAGAATCCCAAGAGATACATGTACACCAGAGTTCACGCCAATTCTATATACAACAGACCAAGGGATGGGATAACCCAAGGGCCAATCAACACCGGAATGAGCAAAACGTGGCATACACACACACACACATACATACACATACACCTTGAAGGCAAACACGGTGAAACTTTGTCTCACATACTGTGAGTGTACACTGTGAGGGGGTCAGTCCTTGGAAATAAATATCAAGCTGGCATAGGTAAAGGGTCAGTAAAAGAGAGGAAGACATTCAGTGAGATGGACTTGAACAATGGACTCCAGTATGACAGAGGTCATGAGAATGAGGCAGCATAGGGCAAGGTTCAGATCAGTTACTATGTCAAAGATGACTCAATGGCACCTAACTATAACAATGAACTCCTTACTGTCATTGTGTATTACCTTGCCCTTCATCCAACTTATCTATTTATTCATTTTTACACTCCCTTCCCATTCTTGTTAGTCCTCTAAGATTGATTTTGTATGTAAGCCTTTCCTTAGATTTTTATAACGGTCTTATCCATAATTGTACTTTGGTAATTGATTTACATCACTCAGTACAATTTGTTATAGATATTTCATAAAATTCTTGATTCTTCTTAGGAATATACAATTGGGTTTTATGAGTTAATGTTCACTGCTACTGTCTTTGTTACTACATTGTAAGGGGAGCTTACAATGATGATATAGTTTCTAGGGAGTTGTACTACTAACCCAAAGGCCACACCCTTCTGGCTGTTTCAATCTACCAGCTTCCCTGCAGAAGAAAAATGGGTAATCTTCTTTTGTATACATTACAGCAATAGAAACCCATATGAGGATCAGCTTCTACTCAATAGCAATAAGTAGTAGCAGAGTGTTGCATTTTAAAATATAGTATCTGCCACCCAATATTGTCACCTAAATGTGTACCAGCTAGAAGTGCTAGTGCTAGCACGAAAAAGAGCACACTTAGATGAGTAGCTTTCTAAAAGATACCTATGTTACAGAAACATTCTGTTCATATTACTATGCTTTTATCAGAATGTCTGTTTTATTCACTATGCAAAAGTATTAGACTGTATAGATCATAACAAACTAAACATTGATAATAATGGGAATTTCAGAATCCTTAATTGTGCTCATAAGAAACTTGTATTTAGACTGAGAAGAGGATGCATGGACAGATAAAGGGAACAATATATAGTTTAGAATCAAGAAAGATGTGCATCAGAGGTGTATCCTCTCTCCATATCTACTCAATATGCATGCTGAGCAAACCATTCAAGAAACGGGACTTGATGAAAAAAAGAATGTGGCACTGGGATTGGAAGAAGACTCACAAACAACCTGTGTTATTCCAATGACACAACCTGGCTTGGGGAAGCAAAGAAAACTTGAGAGGTTTGCAGCAGAAGATTAAGGACTATACAGTCTTCAATATGGTTTACAACTCCTATCAAGAAAACCAAAATCCTTACTACTGAGTGAATAGTCAACATTATGATAAAGATTGAACTTGTCAACAATTTCATCTTACTTGGATCCACAATCAACGCCATGGTACCAGCACTCAGGTCAGGAGACAGACAGCACTGGGAGAGTCAAGAGCAAAGATGTCAGTTTAAAGACTAAGATGTACCTGATTCAAGCCATGGTATTTCTAATCACCTGCTATGCATCTTAGAGCTGGACAATGAATAAGGCTAACAGAAGAATTGATGTCTTTGAGCTGTGGTGTTGGAAAAGAGTGCTGAATATCCCATGGACTGCCATAAGAACAAATATGTCTTGGAGAAAATGCAGCCAGACTGCTCCTTCAAGGCAAAGATAATAAAGCTTTGTCTCACATACTTTTGGTATAATGCTAGGACAAGCTATTTCTTGGAAATGGACATCATGCTTGTAAAAGTGGAGGGTCATTAAAAGAAAAGACTGTAAGCAAAATGGATTGACACAGTGACTGTAGCAATGAGCTCAAGTGTGCTGGGGAAGGATGACAATAGGACAGGCTTCATATCTCTTGTTCACAGTATCACTATAAGTTGTAATGAAACCTGACAACAATAAAAACAAAAGTAAAAACAAACTGCAATGAATTGGACTTACCAGAGATTCTTTGGTGCCAAAAAAAAAAAAAAGGCACCAATTCTATTTAACATTTAAACCCATGGGGAATCAATACCAAACTAGGTGAGCTTTGAATTTTACAGGTTAAAAAAAAATTCTTGGAGGAAAAAAAACTCTGCCTTGTACCAGTTAAAAAAAAAAGAACAGGGCTTATGAAATGATAAAAGGAATGAAATGAAACTGAATTAAGAATTCTGAAGTTAAGATCTTGACAAACGTGCAATATAATGAGACTCGTACTTAGGGAGGTCACAGAAGTAGATCACCTTATTGTTTATATCACCATGAATATAAATAATACTTTTCTTACTCAAACAAATAATACTTTCCTTATCTAAATGCCTGAAGTAAAACAACCTTGCTTTAAGGAGTGATTGCATAATATGTGATTTTAATTAAGTTTATTTAAAAAACCCTACTGTTACTATTGCCAAGAGAGGAAAAATAGGGCACTGATCAATTCCTTCAAACTATTTACATTAGAAATAATTCTTAATTGGTTTAAAGGTAGGAAAAAAATATTTGCTATGACTCACTATCTTCCTTGAAGGGCTCAATTTATATTATAAGAGCTCCACTCACACAAAGGTCCCTCTAGATGCCCTCACTTTAAAATAAAATTTTATTGTGCTGTTGAGAATACATATAATAAATATGGCAATTCAACTATGTGCAATTAAGTGGCATTGATTCCATTC